GACCGCAGTCCCCGGGCGGGCGAGGCTCCCGCTGCTGGGGCCGGGCTGGGTCAGCCCCTCCGCTGCCCTTGAACCGGGGAGTTTCGGAAAGTGTGGCCTGAGCCCCATCCCGGCTGCCCCGCGCGGAGTGAGCGGGACTTGGCTCCACTTTCTGAGCCAAGTGATTGCCAGCATCGGCTTCGGGGTCAGGCTGAGATCCTGGTGGTGGCCACTTACCGGCTCTGTGACCCGGGGCGAGTCACTTCACCGCCCTGAGCCTCCTTTTCCTCCCCCGAGAAGCGGGTCAGCGATACCTGCCCTGCTGGGTCGGTCCGTGGGAGGTTAAAGGAGATAGAATGGCAGAGACCTACCTGCCTGGCACTCCTCCTGAGAAGTGGTAGGTAATGTGATGACCGCCTCAGCCCCCCCTGGGGCCATGAGGAGTCAAGCCCCGCTGGGGAAGTAGGCACCTGAGCTGATGGGGTGGTTGGAGGTTGAGCCAGCCCGTGGCAGGTTTTGGGGGGTGAAAGAGGAAGGAAGTTGTTTAAAAGTTCCACTGAAGTTATCAGAGTGTGGCAGAGGCCTAACTCCCTTCTCACCCCTATCTGGGGACACATTCCTGAGTTGAGTCATCGCCACTCCGCCACCCTGGCTGCAGATTCTGGGCTCTGCCCTCACTTGCCATCTCCAAGGCAAAGGTGTCAGGAACAGGTGGTGGCAGTCCTAGCCTCCCCTCCCCGTGGGAAGACGGGCCCAGCGGGAAGCAGGCTTGGTGCTTTCAGGTGCTGCTGTAGAGAAGCTGGCAGAGGTGGGATGGAAGGGCCGCTAGCGGTTGCCATGCCTGCATGGCCTCATCTCCGGGGAACTGGAGGCAGGAAGAGGAAGCTGGGCAGGAAGGTAGTGCTGAGCTGTAAGGCCGTGCCAGGAAACTGAGGGAGGCTCTGAGAATGGGACAGAGTCCAGAGCCCACTTCCCAGTGTGCAGGGCAAGGGATCACGCGGGGAGAGGGGTGAGCATTTGGGGAGAAGAAAGAACTCCCGAAATGAAAGCTGAGGGCAGGATAATTTATTGGGGGAAACTGGGAAACTCTAGGACTCTCACAGGTTCACTTGAGGCAAATGGTAGATCAGAGCTTGGGAAGAATAAATTGATCTCCTCCCTCCCCGCCCTTTCTCCTATCCCCATTCCTCTGTTCTTTCACTCTTGCCCCTTTCTCTGCCCACAGCTAGTTCCCTTCCTTTTTCCCAGCCCCCTTCCCTACCTGGTCCTTCTTCCTTTCCCTTCCTTTCTCTAATTCATTCAATCAAATATTTCTTTGTGTTTCCTTTGTGCTGGGCATGAAGATGGATATCAGGGGTGGAATAGGAACAGTGATAGGAAAGATGGAAATTGAATGGATAATGACTTGAATTCATTCATCTTTTAGATGGTCCTCTCTCATGTACTGTCCAAAGAATGTGGGTTTTGGCCTTCTTCATATGCATACAAGTTGAGTTGGCAGCATCCAAAGGCCTGGTGAGGCGTTAGCCAGTCAGCTAAAGCCTTTGGCCTCCCTTTGCCTGCATTCGGGTTAGCACAAGCATTCAGAATGTGGTCCTTGGAGTCTATGTTGGTTCAACTCTCAGGTCTTTTCCTCACTGGCGCTGAGACCTTGCACAGGTGCTTTAACCCGTCCGAGCCTCAGTTTCTTATAAAACTGGGACAATAGTACTGTCCTCAATGGATTATTGTGAGATAAAGTGAACTGACAGCTAGCGCAGTGCTTGGCTTAGAGTAGTGTCCCTTGAATGGTGGCTGTTATTACTGTCAGGAGGTAAAACCTCAATAGCCTGTAGTGCCTGATGGGAATAAACTAGATGCAGGTTCTCAAAGGCCCATGTAAAGTTCTGTATTTAGGTTAGAAACAATTAAGGGCACACGTTTACCATAAAGAAGAGTTGGCTTGGATGTATATTTTGTAAAAATATCTAAAAGATTTTATTGAGCCCCAGTATTGTGTAGTGCTTGGGATCTGACTATTAAAAAAAATAATAATAAAGCTAGGGAGCCCTAACCGGTTTGGCTCAGTGGATAGAGCGTCGGCCTGCGGACTGAAGGGTCCCAGGTTCGATTCTGGTCAAGGGCATGTACCTTGGTTGCAGGCACATCCCCAGGAGGGGGTGTTCAGGAGGCAGCTGATTGATGTTTCTCTCTCATCGATATTTCAAACTCTCTATCCCTCTCCCTTCCTCTCTGTAAAAAAAAATCAATAAAATATATTAAAAAATAAAAAGCTAGGGAAAGTTGGGCTAAATCAGTAAGAACAGCTATTATTTATTGAGCATCTAGGGTGTGTCAGGTATTGTGCTAAGGACGCTATTTATAATATGTCACATGTCTTAGCTAACATCATGGTAGATATTATTATTGTCATCACTTTATAGATGAGGAAGTGGAAGGTCAGAAAGGTCATGTCCTTGGTCATGAGGAGAGATACGAGGGTTAGGGAGATTTTGAGAGCTTTGTTTTCAGAGGAACCAAAGGCAGTTGGCCTGGAAAAATCTGATGGGACACTTGAGTGTCAACAGAGGGATATTCTGTACAGAGGATAACTGTCTGTCAATCACATTTCCTGGATAACTCCCACCCTCTGTCTGCCAACTATACTGCTGCTCCCTCTCCCCCTGCTCACAACCTCAAGCCCTTCAGGCCCCTGAAAGGACTTGGAAGTGTGGACATCTCACACACTTACTGATGGCACTTCTCTTCTCACCCTGTCTGGCTGGCCTCTCTGTTTTAAATTCTCTCACTTCCAAACATGCCAGCCTACCACCAACAGATAAGTTATCCTGAAGCACC